GAAGGCAAACCTTCGGATGTCAGGCCTACTGTAAGCCTTTAGTAAAGGAACCATTGTGGTTATCTAGGCATGGTGTTCATGTGGACAGTCTACAGAGAACGCTTGAGTTTAGAGTAGGGGCTGTCGTTTGCGATGCTCCTGCTAGGGCCTTTATTAAACAAATTAAGAATGTGAATGCTTTTTACGGTTGTGAGCGGTGGTTCGTCGAAGGTGAGCATGACACTAAGGTTGTTTATGAGGAGATTACCAAGCGTAGAAGAAGTGATGATGATTTTCACAGTGAAGGGGACGACTGTCATCGTATTGGCAGGTCACCCCTTCTAACCTGCAATGTGGGGATGGTAACATGTTTCCCGTTAGATCCACTTCACCTAGTTTACACAAGTGTTATGCGCCGGTTACTGAAACTGTGGCTTAAGAGCCCACAAGGTACGCCGTATAAGTTGTCACGAAAAGAAGTAGCCAAAGTAAACGATAGGTTGTTAGCTTTAAGTCCATGTTTACCACGGGAGTTTTCCCAGCGAGCTAGGTCACTTAGCGAGTTGGACACATGGAAGGGAACTGAGATGCACCTGTTCCTATTGTATACAGGTGTTCTTTTCTGCTATGACAACCTTCAACGCAGAGGTACTCAAACAGAGATGCCGAGTTCTCAATGTTGCGAGAATTGAGATACCGAAGGCCTTAAAGCTTGCCTTCAAACCTGCCCACGATCGGCATCAGCGGCATAGTGGGCGGTGTTCACAATCTACAAGCCGAATTATAGAGTCAACTTATACATTTAACCTTGTCACTCACTGGTATGTTACGTTTCCCTACCTACGTCTAAATTTCCTAATGTCCTCCTTTCAGACAAACGCCGCAATGATGAGGACGATGATGCGCCAGGGCCGTATGGGCTACCAGCACCGTCCATGAGCTCCACAGTGGTGCGTTCGGGTAGCCAGGAATTCTGAAAAAGCGGCCAAAAAAAACTATTTGTATTTTTTGTACCATAATACTTTTTAAGCCCGCGTTTTATATTAATATACATATATCTAAACAAACAGTCTTTAAAAAGGTTATATTTCACTGCGTTTCGAAAAAAATAGGGGGTTTTCGCAGGAAAGGAGGTAACCCCTGTCCGGATGAAAAATGAAATTCGATTTTTCGAGCTACAAGCGCGATAACGCGAGCTCGCTTGGAGCTCGTTTTTTCGAGCTCGTTTCGAGCTCAAACAGGCGACCAAAACGCTTGCTCAAGCAACCTTCAGCTACTATGTCAGAGTATGCCAGCAACTATAGAAGCAGTCGCCATCAGCTTAGAAGAGTTGGTCATGGTCGCGCGAATGTACCCCGTGTTCAAAGTTAAACTAATTTATATTGACCATTAATAACCCTCACTACCTCTTCTTATACCCACAATATCTCAATACCAGCTTCTTTTTTAAGACCAAAATTTCATCGACTTCCCTCAACATTGACGTGCCATTCCTGAATACGTTCCCATATGAATGTACTGGCCTGAGGAGAATGTATCGAGTGCATACGTATGCTTGCGAACTAGCCTTTTGAATATATCAATATACATTTTAGAAACACGAACAACGTTAGAGTTCAGATACAATTCTACCTTCACGCGCAATCGTCTTGCAACGATCACGCCTCCTTTTGTACATTTTCTATTGACCATGTTCGTATCGCGGCAGAAATCCATGTTCCTACATATGCATATGAGGCGAGAAAATGCCCTCCTTGCATGCTCTTTTCAAAAAACTAAACGCGCATTGGTAATTCTGCGCCCTGGGCAGGAAAACATTTCTGACAAATATGAAGCAGACTCAAATGACAATTTGTGGCTTATTAGCCGTCATCACTCAGTCATTGCTAACCCCAGGTGGCGCCCCGCCTGGGGTTCGAACACGCGACTTTTTGACTAGAAGTTCAACGCTACTATTACCACTGAGTAGCTGTCTCGTTGTTTTGTTGGTTTCGACCGGACATTATTGAGTGGATGCTCACCGATCGGCCGCAGGACGCCACCTATTGCCTTGGGACTCAGTCACGAGTCCCGGCAACAGCCACACAACAGCTAGTATTATGGGCAGGAAAATGCTACTGACAAACAGAAGGAAGACTGGAGTACATGGTTCTGACCTATTCACCCTCAGCAGAGAGTCATACCGTCCTTTAGAAACCCGGTGCAATAATTTTTATTCGGCTATCGAAGGGCTGAAGTCCCACGACACGCAGTGTCTTGCACGCAATACCCGCGTTTCCCACAATATGCCCTCTCATGAATTAAAAAAGAAGATAAGCATAGTTTTCGAATCGGATCATTTAATTTAAACGTGGATATTGAATCAATGTGTACAAAGGAAGTTAATTCTGTTAGTAGAAGCGAATGTAGTCGCGAAGAAAGCGACATGATCACTGGAACAAGAGTTTTAGTAGTCTAAAGTTGAGTTTGATACACGTATTGGTGTGCTAGAAGTTCACTCCAATCTTCAACTCTTCTTCAAGTATAAAACTATCGTCATAAAAGGCACAGTTTCAAGTTAGTTTTGATTTCTTTTCGTTTTTTTATTTGGCCGCAGCAGGTGTTCCGTAATTGGAGTAATCACTTTAAATCCCTCAATATATCGTTCAGGTTCGCAACAGAAGGATATCCTTCGCCTCCTGTACGGCCACATCCAGATATTCCAGATATAATTTCAATTTTAAATTGGATATTTCTAGCCGATTGACATCCTCTTCACATGCTTTGAATTTGCCTTTCCTTTTAGCCCTTGAACGACGTGAAGCCTCGTTGTTCTTCCTTCGTCTTTCCTTCTGAACGTCAAACTCCATTTTGCAGTCCACAGCCTGGCTTCTAGGTGTAGTAGAACCGGATACCATTTCGAGAGGCTGGCCGTCTGCTGAAAACGTATTCGTTGCCGCATCAACCAATTGCCCGTCAACGTGGTCGATGTTCTAAAATTAGCGCTAATAAAAATTAAATTTGAGCGGATACTCTTAACTGCAAGGAAACAAATTAACTTTTAATATAAACTAAAGGTAAAGCAAAGCCGCTTTAAAACCGCTAAAAACTTACGTAATCCGTAAAGGTAGCTAAGAGCCGTTCAGTTTCCTTTATGTCTTCAAAGTCAAAGTGAAGAGCAGGCGTACCATCTGACGGGAAATCAGATGACGCATTTTCGATGGGCGGCAGACTCATGTTGATAAGTTCGTGCAATTCATTCACATCCATTAGATGGTCAAGTGAGGCGGAAAGATCAGGAGTACTACTGTTCACAGCAAACCCTGAGTATGCTCCCCGCGCAGACGTATTTTCTTCTAGTAAAATAGTGTTTTTTTCTGGTAAGAGGGAAATATGTTGGCGGCTGATGTGGTCGCAGGGCTCATACGGGATAGACACTAGAGGTAAGTCATCCGCTAAAGCTGGACTGCTAGTCACTTCAAAAGCGTCCATAGAAGCACAAGAATTGTGTGAAGAGAGGGGAGAAGGAAGGTTTCCAAAATTTTCCTCGAACAGTGGAAGATGATTAGATGTTACAAAAACTGATTCGACAGGATCGAGAATCGGTTGAATGCAATGGTTTGCGGAGTGCTGCTGCTGTTCAAAATTGACGCACTGTGCTCTGCCGTAAACGAAGTTGTTGGAGCAGGCTGACAGCTGATCGTCTTGAATAAATAGTATATCAGCGCTGTTTATAATATTAGAGTATCCATTTGGAGAGTTTGGTATGATGTTGCTATTTTCATGTTCAGGTATTCTGACTGAAATGTGTCAAAAAATACGTCAGTTAGAGGATTTAAAAATAGGATTGTGACAGAACAAAGTTTCTAAGTTAAATTTGAAGCCAAAGGTTTGTTATACAATAGTTCCCTATTTGCAGGTCCTTAAAAATAATTCCTTAATAATATTCATTTCTATCGGGAATAAATTTGAAATTTATAGGAGATAATCTTTTACGGTGCTCTTAATCATTGCTGTCAAAAGACGCTTTCGTGTATTCAAATATATCTAAATGAATTGATCAGAAGTAAATCTAAGTGTTATTGAAGTTACTATCTCTTTGCGTCTACCAATGCTATTAGAGTAAAGCCCCACATGATATTGTACGCAGTGTCCTGTTTATGGATGATTATTTCAGCGCATGAATATACCACCAAACTGTACGCACCACGGGTGTCGGACTTTCGATACTTGGGCCAGTTACGTAAGAATGAATACATACATTTAAACAGAAAGATTTCTAAACAGTCGGATATAAAGTCGGTTAGACGAAATCAAGGATTAAAGCGACAAATGAAATGTTAACACAGGTAGCTCAAAAATAAAATAAAAAAATGATTAATAACGCACTTTGTAAATCATAGATACTAGGTATTACTCCATGGAAAGTTTCTGAAGGCCCCATACTGGAGTTGATATTCACTTCTGGAGACAGGCCAATCGAGTTTTCGTCCATAATTTTGTGTTCCCCGCAGTTGGCTTTCAATTTGATCATTGAGGCAGCCGATAATTCGAGACCATTGCGATATGCAGTGTATACTTTGTGCTGGCATTTTTTTGGTTGCGGGGATTGCTGATTTTTGATGTAATCTGTAAGGTTTATTTTGTAAGTTGAACCGCTAAACAACAATTATTCCACACGGTCGACAACTTAGCACTTCCGAGGCAGTGGCGCAGCTGTTTGCGCC